CCAGTCCTCCCTGAGCCAGCACCCCAGGCCTAAGATGTCCCCACTCTGTCCCCAGCCCAGAGGCCAAAACAGGCTTAGTCAATGGTGGTAAAAGTCATAAAGGGCATGTGGAAGGAAGCGAGGAGGAGAAGACAGAAGGGAGGAAGGGGCTGGGCTCCGCCTCATGGGCTGAGGACACGTTGGCAGCCATACCGTCTTGGACTTCCTCTGCAGAAGCAGCATCGTGGTGGAGAGAGGAGAGAGAGAGGGAGGGGAGAGAGAAGCATCTGTAAGTGGTTGTGGCCAAGTTGATACAACAAGAGGGAGGGCAGAGGGTCCAAGCAGAACCAGGATGTGAGTAGGTTACGTGCCCCTCTTGTTCTTTCCTGGCCCGGCTCCTGCACACACCCACACATGGCCACATGTGCCCACTGGCATTGAAGTCATGTCACATACCTGGTTCATGAACTTCATGGGTTAAGGAGGGCCATGGAACAAGAGGCAAAACGCAGGTCAGAGGTCAAAGGAGAAGGGATCCGAGGTTAATGGAAACAGCCCGTTGACACATGGGCCGAGAGAGGGGGCACATGCGGGAGCCAGCAAGACAGAGAGTCAGCGGAGGCTGTCCCATCCCCGTTCTACCCCCCAGATCCTGCCACATGCTCTCGGAATCTGATGCCTGAGTCCACCCCAACCTGTCCCACCACACGGATGGGACAAAGGCTGCATGGGGCATTTGGAACGCTGGTACTGGCTTCTGTTGTGATGACTTATTACTGTTGTAGTCAGGGGAGCAGACTCAGGATCGGGGTTCCTGTCTGCCTCTGCTTCTTCTCTTCCTGCCATCCTTAGGCTCCCCGGGGAAGGGAGGGGCTTCCATACCTCTGGTTGGGGCACAAAGGCTCAAGGGCACCAGGGGCAGAGGCAAGAGGGGCAGTGAGAAGCATGCCCAGGAGGCCTGTTTCCTGCTAGCCTAAGAGCTGGGAACCTATTCCCTTTCTTCCTCTGCTGGGGGCTCACCAGGCTTGCATGAGGCACCATCCTCCCACGATGAACAGACACCAGGGGCTCGGCCTCAAGTGCCTGTTCACATCGTGCTGTGCTATCCTAGCATCTGGGCTCTTAGTTCCCCACAATGTGGTAGAGGGCTAGGCTCCACTCACATCAGTGGTTTCCCCACTGCTTCTTTCTTGGGGTGCCTTTCGGATCTGCAGCCCAACCCACTCCAACTTAGCCAGGACTCGGCCCTTGGGGTCCCATGACCTCTCCAGTCAAGCATTGGCCATAGTTAGTGGGTTATGTGGGGGCCACATGTGGGCGCCCCTTGGCTGGCTGGTGCCTCACTGCTTCCTCGTCCCAT